TACGAACACCTATCGCGTGGGCGTAAAAAGTCTGCTGACCTTGAACTTTACCGCGGCGTACAAAGTCTGCCCGTGCGAACGCACGCTTAGGGTGAATTAAATGCGTAATGTTTGTTGGAATTAACGCAAGCTAGTGTTTTGTTTTGCGGAAAATATGAAGTTTCGAATTGAAAATCAAATATTACAATTATTTGACTGGTTGTCCGTGACTTCGTCAGTGTAGAGTTTTAAGAAATAGGCTAAGATACTTCTGTATACATAAGCTTCAAGTAAAAGTCCCGTCAATCAATTCAACCGTTTCGTAGATTATTCTATTTAGTCAATCAAAATGTTTATTTTGCCAATTTCTTAAATCAAAGTTGTCGATTGAAATATTTGTTCAATTTTATAGTTTACTTTAAAGTAAATTTCAAAAGGGCTTGAAAATATTTCATGTAAGCGTGAAGAGAAAAAAATCTATTTTTGAAACGTAGTAAAAAGTGAGATCAAACGCAATTTGCAGATTGTTTTTGTGAATGTATGTGCCAAAAATATTGGTCCATTTGTCACATCGTTTGCAGACATTTCAAATGTGTGAAATAAATATTTATTTAGTGAACGATTAAAGTAAACGATTGTTTTGTTCTATAACTAAGTGCGGTTTCAAATTATTGGATACACTACGGAATGTTGATTTTGGTATTCGTTAATACTACTGATACTACAAATTTAAAAACCAATTTAAACTTACTTTGATATTTAACCATCAAATGTGTTTTTAAAACAATAATTAAGATGTTTAATTTAAATCTCTACAGAAACTTATGTATAGCGTTTGATAAAGTAAACCACAGTTAAATTCTTTTTAAATCAAATTTCTGTATTTAAAGATTATTTATCTAATTTACATAACTGTAATATATCTAACAAAATATAAAATTAAGGTTTTTATTTGTTTCTATCTGTTTGTAACATTATATTCTGGAGTTCCCCAAGGGTCGATTTTTGGCCCCCTTATAAGTCTCTAAAATTGAATCAACTTTATCGGTGGTTCTCTATATAGTTATTGATGTATTCATGTATTGTCAACAGTTACAAGTAAGAAACTCTCGCACGGAGTCCACTGAGGATGATAAGCGCAGTGACGACAGCCGGCCTCTCAGTCATGCGTCGGATTTCAGCAGGGATAATATACGTTAGTATATTTTATCTATACTATTATAATAAAGCGTAAACACACCCTTCTTTGTTGCCTAAGATCAGCAATTACAGCATATTTTTGAATAATGCTTTTTTTAATAAAAAGCCCTGCACTTGCGTCACGCTTTAGGCTATATATTTTCACGACATTAAACTTAGGGAGTAAATATTTTGGATAATGACCCTAATGTGGGAAAGAGACCATAAGTTGCTGCCAACATCAAGAAAGCAAGATTGCTAAGGTTTGTCATGTCATGTCATTTTGACATTTGCTATTGATAATTTGACAAATGTGAACAATAAAACAAAATTTTCATAATTGAGGATGAAGTCATACGGGAAACAGCTAGTGAAGTAATATTCGTTAAGAGTGTCACATATTTATTCCTATACCACATTTATTCTAACGATAATCGATTATTAGATAGGTGTAGATATTCTAGCAGTTCTTACGTACATTATTATAATTCCAGTATTGTTTTTTTAGTGTCGCTCAGTAACGCGCCGCGGCGCAGTCGGCGAGGTGTCGCTGCACAGGAATGGCAACGACCCCTTACCCGATACCTGCCCGTTGACAGAGATGACTTCGATCTACGGAGACATGTTGAGTCCGCTGGTATGTACTCTTCGTTACTAACCTAATTTTAAACAATTAATATAATTGTAACTAGCGATATTAATTTAAACACTCCACTAAAGATCTCGTCAGGAATGCGCGCGAATATTCCAATTCTTCTAATGACAGACAGCTGTTAGAGATGTGACGTTTATGTCAGTAAACTAGTGTTGCCCCCTACAGCGCGGTAATTTTCTTCTTAATACTAGATATAACAGGTTCTCAGACCTCAAGAGTGACTAGGCCATATCCACCGAATGTCCTAATACAAGTTGACTTCACTATCATGGTTTCATTCGAGAATACTAACCTGTCATGAAAAGATTTTTAGTTCCGTCGTTTTATGTACGAGTACTAGCTTTCACCCGCGACTCTGTCTGCGGTGAATTAAGAAAATATGAGTGAGTAGCCTATGTGTGCTTCCAGATTATCCTCTACAGCTGTACTAAATTTCATCAAAATCCGTTCTGCAGTTTAGGCTACAAACTCTAACATCCATCTAAACATTTGTATGTATAATCTTTATTGTAATGTATACTGCAGGTCACCAGGTAGATCTGTGTGCATACGTGTCAGTGAGCTGTACGTCGTGTCGCGGCTACTTGCACAAGCTGGGAGCGAAGTTCCACACTTGGTCCAAGAGGTAAATTCTCCATACATACATTATGTTATCACTTGTAGACAGAAATACAAAAAAAGAATTAATGTCTTTACAATATGTCTAACTAGCTGTACTCGTGCGGCTTCACCCGCATGAAGTTATAAAAACTGTATTTTATTGTTAACATTTATCTAATTCTCAATTGCAAATTTCAAAATTACCGTTACCATAATAACCTTGCTTTCCTAATGTTGGCAGCTTGTAGTTTATAGTCCCTTTCCTACATGAAGATTTACCCCTAAGTTTGATAGGATGTTGTTTATTAAAGAAAGAATTATTCAAAAATATGCTGTGATTGCTGACATCTTACGTCACAAAGTGTGTTACACTTTATTATATTAGTATAGATATATAGATTTTAGATATAGATAGAAATAGGCCTAATTTTAGTCCCTTTCACTTACCACCCTTTTCTTGGGTGGTAAGTGACAGGAGGAAAGGATGGGAAGGGAAAGCGGATTTGACGGTGGAGGAGACGCATAAGAAGGGGAAATGTCTTTTTGTGGGTCTCCTGCTCCACCAATGAAGGGTAGGCAGCGCATCTGCAATTGCGGATGTTTATGGGCAAAGGTCGCTTTCCATTTCGGTGGATTCAGGTAGCCGCTTGCTCGTTTGCCACCTTATAAAAAAAGTAGATATTATACAGTAAATAAAAGTCTTGTAGTATCAAATTTTAGTAAAAATTTTGCATTTTTTTGTATTTTTTGTGATCAGGTGGTTCGTTTTCGACCGGGAGACGAAAACGTTCGTCTACTACTGGGACAAGACAGAGAAGAAGCCGAGAGGTGGCGCATATTTCCAGGTATTGCCCTACTCTTAGGAGGGTCATTTTTAAATTCTCTTGTGCTCCCTTCACTTAGTCAGAATATTTTGTCCCTATAATGTTTTTCCAGATCTAAAGCCTTGAATTTCATTTTTAATACTGTAAAAATAAATGGACTAACACTTATTTGAACACTAGCTTTCATCCGCGACTACGTCCGCTTGGAATTGAAGAAAACAAAAATGTTGTGCTGTGTGTTCTTCCAGACCATCTTTTACATCTATGACAAATTTCATCGAAATCCGTTCAGCAGTTTAGGCTACAAATTCTAACAAACATCCATCCATCTAAACTTTCGCATTTATAATATTAGTAAGATTGTGTTTTTACACACAATTGCCTATAAATTTGGTCCGTTACTGGAAAAAAATTAGATCAAAACAAATCTTTCCTCTTTATATTAGTATGGGATTTTCATATTTTTTTATTTTATTTATAGCAATATAGCAACTTTAACCAATGAATTTAATGTACTGAATACGTATATACTAATATAAAGAGGAAAGATTTTTATTTTTATATGTATTGAAATAACTCAAAAACTACTGACGATTTCAAAATTTCTTCCATCATTAAAAAGCTACGTTATCAGTCAGTAACATAGACTATATTTTTATATTTCGATTTAACGATACTATATTATTTATGTATATATCAGGTAATCGAAGAAGTATACCTTGACCACGGCAACACTTCTAAATCCCCAAACCCTCAGACCACGTTCATAGTGAAAACTAGACAGAGAAGGTATTACCTGATGGCTCCCTCCGGGGAGGCTGCCCGCATATGGATTGATGTCATATTCACCGGGGCACAGGGATATACTGAATACTTAGAGTGAAGCAATATTCAGTATTGGAATTGAATACTTAGAGTGAAATAATATTGAGTATTGGAATACTTGTACCTGGGGTTCTCAACCTTTGTACTCTAGAGCACATTCTTTTCATATTCCCATCATTTCTTATCTTATTCATAATTTATTAATAAATAAATAAAAGTAATTAACGTTTAAGACAATGTGGCGAGCAATACTAATCGGTCTACACGAGGTTGGGAACCTCAAACTTAGAGTGAACTAATATTGAGTACTGGAATACTCAACATCACTGAGTAAACAAATATTGATTTTAAAATAATTATAATTTTTAATATGGATTTTACCATTTCTACAATTTGATATAGTGTATGGAATATTGGAAATTATTAATCAAATTGTAAAATCATTATAATTTGAATACTCGATATTCTTGTAATATTGAGTATTATTATATTAAATACCACATGAGTATACGTTTATTATATGACATTTGGGGAAAATATACTTTGGTTTAATAAATAATATTTTATAAATTGTATTTGTATGTTTATTTTTAATTAATGCAATGAGAATGTGTTTGACAATATGTTAATTCCAAATACGTTAAAAAACCGGTTACTGTGAAAACTCTTTTGAGATCAAAGTATGTAATATTTGGTCACTTTAATCGTTACAGCTTCACAGATTGTATGATTTTGTATGTGTTTTGTGAGAAATGATTCTTGTTGATAAAATGCATTTACCTCCATTTAGGATTTCGTCCAATGTTAAAAATATTGTATTTTTTTTCTTTAGTAACAGATGCTCGAATAATTTTTAATTTTTTTAATGTACTTATTGAACAATAGTCAGACTGAAATCATTTGCATTTTTAGACGAAAATTGTCTTGTGTGTTGCCATATAGGCATTATGTTAGTAAAAATCAGTATTTCGAGTAATGAATTTCATTATTTTTAATGTGATTTGTTGTATGTGCCAATGTACATGTAAAGCAGCTATTTTTATATAAAAATACAATTCGATTTTATTGGTGCCTTTCGAGACTGAGATATATGTCTTATGAATGATACAATATTGTCAATTATATACATATTTGATTTTATGCTTATGCACGCTTATTTTTGTGTTACCATGTAGCGCTTTTAGCAACTCAATGTTGCCATTATCGAATATTCACATGTTATTTGTGATTGTATGAACTAATTTTAATATGATAGTGATAGTTAACTGTTTCCTAACATATTTCCTACATTTACATGTAAATATATAAATAAAATTGAAAAAAATATGTGAAATCTTGATGTATGCTTTACATATAAATGCCCAATATTTTCGCTACATTTTTTATGTAGGTGATAATTTTAATTAAAAATTATATAACGAATATGCTATTGTATTTTAAATGTAATTTTAGTACAAAAAATCGTGATGTTTTTGTTGCGATTAATTTACTACCAGTGTGGAAATTATTTTATTTGCTTGCAACACTTGTTATTGAATAAAATGGCTGATACCAATTACTTTATATGTAAGGTCACATAATTAACAGCCTGATTAATAAAATAATATCAAAATGAATAGTTTTTTTCTTTAATTTTCCTTTTAATTCCAACCGAAATTTGAAATAACTGCGGCGAATGTTTGCAATTATATCGTCCAGTAGGAACCGCCTGTCGACAGGGTGAGATCGTTCTTAATTTGAGCGACTGAAAATTGGATGAACAGTGAATAGAAAACGACATAGTTCTAACTATTCAAAACATTACCACACTTGCAAATACTAAAAAACATTGAAAATAATATATTTTTTTAAATCTTACCAATTATAATCAAAAGTAAGCAGATGCATTATTTGACTTTAGATTTAAAATTCCTAGCGAAAACTTTGATCTTGATTATTTTCTTAAACTTAGGCTTAGTTTGTATAATTTTGGTTCGTTGGACGTACCTACTCCTTGAATTTTAAAATCTGCTCAAATTAAAAAATACAGAACGTTGCAGCAAAAATCCTAGAAGCTAGAACGGAAAATTAAGATCCGAACACGTCAGTGTCACTTTGACGTAGCTGATAACATTTAATTTGATAAACATTTTGTCGGAGAATTATTGTAATAGTTTTATTTATTATTTGCTAAGATTCTTATACGGACGTATTCAAGTTACAATTACCTTAAACACAAGGCAGTACATTAAATTACGGAGTTCTCTAGTAATAAACCTACATAATAAAAATGTCGAATATATTAGAAAGAGTTCGTAAATTTGTAAAGCATTGGTATGTAAGATATTTAGTCGCTACAGAATTGTACATGGTGGAACCATGGGAGAAAGCATTTATACGTATCCTTTTTAAAACATAAACGTAAGTAAAACTGATTGTTATAGTAACATAGTAATCAATTCCATTACTAAAGCACATAAAAATCACACTATTATTAGTATATTACGTTTTATGGCCAAATCTATATATTTTAAATGATCTACAAATGTACTACTACTGTGGCTAAAACATTGAATATAGTTTTTTAAATATGTATATATAAAAAAAACATATTTGTACTGTTTAATATTCTTGCAAAATCTAAAATTTTATGATAGTGGTAAAAAATCTGCATTTATGTTGTTTAAAAATTATATTGAGTACAATAAGGAACATTAACACTTATTGTTTTCCTTCAAGGTAATGTTTAATTACCAAGTCACGGTTTTATGTCAGTGTGAATTACATTTACACTTTCCTGTTTGTTTATAAACTCTGTTGCGACTAGTATTATTAAATAATACTATAGTAGTAAAAATAACAAGTTTTTAGTGTTCATGCATTTTAATGATGGTTTTTTTACTTTTTTTTCAATTTAAATTAATGTCTATCTTCATACTAGTCAAGCAATTTAGTAATTAAGGCTTGTCCATATAATTTTTTTATCAACTTGACTAAATTACTTAGTGCTTGACCAAATCTAGCATAGTGTGGGACTGCATTAGTCATAATATTTTAGAAATTCCAGTAGTAAATTATTTATACTTATACTAGATATAAGAATCTCAATAATTCCTTAACTATTCAATCAGATGTACTTTTTGTGCTGGTCTTTGCTCTGTTCTGGTACTTCAATTATTCCATTGTATTGAATGGAATTCTGCAAATACGAGAAACAAAACATCATGTGGAGCTACACTAAGTAATTACTACTAGTAATGTAATGCTCACTTAAGTATTGTAGATTCCTTTAATGGCTGCAATGAAGTGGTAATTTCATACATCAACACTAAGTCTCTGTTACCTTTTAACTCTTGAGTGAAGTTAATCTACACTAAGGAGCTATCACAGTGGGCGTTAAATGATGGTGGTAGTAAATATGAAGATAAGACCAAAGTATTTAAGAGTTATTCTTTGATAAATTATTTTGAATACCAACAGTTAATTTTTTTTGTATTAATTTTCTCACTTGGTGGAAATCATGTTATTTTTCTTGCATTTTTTAAATGTTTGTTTTAATAACGTGTTTATTAAACATATTTACAGATGGAATTTTATCTTTTATTTTCATAACCTTAAACCATTAGCAACAAAGTGCACTGTAAACAAGATTATTCTAATATTTTTCCTTGTAAATATATTCTTAAGTCAATGATAGAAATACACTCCAACAGCCTCACAAATAAACACGGTATAAAGTTGAACTGAGAAATAAACTGCATATAAGCAAATATAAGTACAAATTTTGCTTATACTCAGTTTATTCCTAAGTTTAACTTTATACTGCATTTATTTGTAAGGTTATAAGTTTTACTAAACTATTTGAGAATTAAATAATACAGAAGGTAAGGAAATGAAATAAAACACCAATACATGTTTGATTTTTATTATCAGACTTTTAAATAACTGATGCTATAACCATTGCTGCTGCGGAATGCTTCTGGAACTTTCTGCGAAGTCGTATTCAAATGTTCTATTCCCTTATAGAACATACTCTTTGAGATATCCGTGCTGACAACCGTTGGATCTGACAACCAACTTTCAACCTCCTCATTCAAACATAATTCTACCTTATACAATATTTTAGTCAAAAAACTAGAATTCAATGTAACTTTATCATTTACAACCTCGTTGTTTCTTAAAACTTGTAACTCTTTGTCCATAACCCATATTAATAAATATTGTTTGTTTGTTGAGGATAGAGAACATTCCAAAACAATTTTACACATAACCGCATATTGTAGACCTAAGTTTGATTCTTTCGTCATACATTCGATAGTGTAAATAAAATCATCGACACTTATATTAGTTGGATTATTATGTGAAAATACATAATTATCTGTACTATTTTGTTGTATTTTTATTTCAGAGTTAAATAATTTGACTGTATCTTTCTTTTTAAGACCTAACCAAGCTAAACACCTATTGCAATGGTATACATCCCTTTTGAGGTTAAATTTGTTCGTTTTTTCTGATAATAAATTACTTTTTATTACAAAATATGTTAAACGGTAGAGAAAATCGTTTTTATTCTGCTTTAATACGATCGGTTCAGTGTTACCATGACCGTGTCCGTGACAAAACCATTCTGACATATCAATATTTTCAGATGGCAACTCCAATATTCTGTCAAATTTGACAGCTTCGACGGAAATGACATTTGAGCAATTTGCGCAAATTATTTTCATATCATATTCAGCTTTTACATTTATTTTTAATTCGTTAATTTTAAGTGAATTCGTAAGATTTGTTGATAGAAATTCAGAGTAAAAATTACCGTTTTTCGGTTGCGTTAAAACGCGAAACGATATCGTATTCTTGTCTATTTTCAGACATGACATTGAATTTGGTATTATATGACAGAATTCGCCAATGACGATTATGGAACTGTCATCGAATTCATCGTCAGAATAATCCGACAGACTTTCTATAGAAGATAAACTGTCTCTTCTAGAAGAATCATTATAATAATTCAATACAATACAATTCGATTGAATATTAATTTTCAAATTGCAATTCTTATTTAGATCAATACTAGTAGTTATGTAAACATTACAACTGCGTAATCGCGAACGCAATTCTATAAAAATATTTTTAATCAACATTTTTGCTTAATTCAAATTTATTTATCTATTTTAATCCTTTCAACATGTCCGTTAGTTTCATAGACATTAAAAATGGTGTCCATTTCACGAATAGTGAAAGGTAAAGTTGCTTTTTTGTAGTAATTTCCCATCATTTCGATATTATCAATGACAGTATCGAGTAAATGTGATTTCTCGGCATAAATGCCGGGTGCTTCGTGTCTTAGATATGTGAAATGTATGTGCAAATGATAAAACGAAGGCTGATAGTGTATGTACACACGTAACTGACTTCCCGGAACTTTGTACTTGGAGAATATTGTTTTCTGGAAGTAAAATATATTTTTATTACAAATATTTAATAAATTATGTTACTGCTTTGTCGTTTTTAATCTATTTTAAAATATAGAGATTCCTCCTACTAATACTACATATATTTGACAATTTTAAATAAAATTTTTTGAGGTTAAATTATATATCTTATTGTTGAATACCATGTTTAATTATTTGTCATCTTGAGATTGTAAGCGAGGCTAACAAAGCAAAGAGTATAAGATTAGTTGCAATATAAAACCGTTCAGTTGCACACAAATTATTTAAATTATTCCGTTTATCATGAAAAACAGTAAAAAAACTAAAAGACTAACATATTAATCTAGTATATTAGATTGTTTCTTTAAAAAATTATAGCCTAGTTAGAGATATAAATATGCTAGAAAAAACATCAAAAAAGCTTACCTTTCCTTCGTCACGAACTCTCTTTAGCAACGGCAAATGTATTTCATTCAGATCTCTCAAAGATTTGATACCTCGTTGTCGTACAATAGCCAGTAAATACAAGGTCTCTCTAGTTAGACCGTCCCACTTCAGATCCGGAAGTAAAACGAAGCCTTCTCTTTCACACTTATTGTCGTATATCACTCTGTCCTGCTCACTCTTACCTTCTAGAATATTATACACCCACTGAAAAGAAAAAAATATGACAATATTTGAATATAGCAGTATAATTAAACAATTAATTGCAATAAATGTATAGGATAACATTTTTTTTTATAAAAACGAAAATCGACTTCAAGTCAAAAATTTCTGACTTTTGGTAGACTTTCAAAACTCAAAAACTACTGGGTAGTTTTCAATTTTGAAGAAAAATTATAGATAATGCAAATCAAACCAAAAAACAGGTAAATCAAATTAATCGTTGAGTTGTACACACACAAAAATAGCGAATTGAGAACTTCTCCCTTTTTGAAGTCAGTTAAAAAGATGCTATCTTTATCTCTCTAAAGGAATGAAAAGGAGGGTTCACAGTGAAAATTCATGGTTAGATTTCATTCACTCTGTCTTAATGATATTTGTACTAATAAGAGGAAATATTTGTATTTTTGTAACAAACTCAAAAACTACTGAACGGATTTCAAAAATTCTTTCACCATTAGAATTCTACATTATTACTGAGTGACATAGGATATATAACTTGTAAAAATTCGCACAGACGAAGTCGAAATTAAAACCTAATATAGTGTAAAAATATTGAAAAAGTGCTATAATAAAACAAATTTAAACTTGATATTTTTATTATCAAAACATTATAAATATATTTAATATACTATTTTTTTTTAAGTAATACTAACTTACATGCAGTTACTTTGGTTTAATATACATAAGAAAATACTGCGTAAAATGTATTATTCTTTTTTTTATTAAGTTTTATAAAAATATTTATTGTCAAACACCAATAGCAAAATCCGAATATCTCTAAATATTTTAGCTTAAAATTCCTGTATTTTATACAAGAATTGCACCAAATACATACTTTAAAATTAATGAGATTATAAAAATAGTGATTTTTCATTATTTTGGATGTTATTCAGTCTATTTTTTTGTTGTTTAAATTAAAAAATAAATAAACACGCTATAGATTTTTAAATCGTTTCTTTTCAGTTACAACCATTTTATTATTGTTTATGTAGAATATATGTACTAGTAGGAATTGGTTGTATGTTACCTCCAGGTATAGGTTGCGTACTGTATGTAGTTTTAGGTAACAGCATACTATTTGTGGGTATAAGTGGAATTCTATAGGTAGTTTGAGGTAATTGAAAGGTATTTGTGGGTATAGATTGAATACTGTAGGTAGTTTTAGGCAACATCATGGTATTATAGGTGGTTTGAGGTAATTGAATAGTATTTGTGGGTGTAGGTTGAATACTGTAGGTAGTCTGAGGTAACTGTATGCTATTTCTCAGTATGTGTTGAATACTGTAGGTAGTTTTAGGTAACAGCATACTATTTGTGGGTATAAGTGGAATATTATAAGTAATTTGAGGTAATTGAAAGTTATTTACGAGTGTAGGTTGATTACTGAAGGTAGTTTCAGGTAACTGAATGCTATTATTGGGTGTGGGTTGAATACTATAGGTAGTTTCAGGTAACTGAACGCTATTATTTGGTGTAGGTTGATTACTATAGGTAGTTTCAGGTAACTGAATGCTATTATTGGGTATAGGTTGAATACTGTAGGTAGTTTCAGGTAACTGAATGCTATTATTTGGTGTAGGTTGATTACTGTAGGTTGTTTCAGGTAACTGAAGACTATTATTTGGTGTAGGTTGAATACTATAGGTAGTTTCAGGTAACTGAATGCTATTATTTGGTATAGGTTGAATACTATAGGTAGTTTCAGGTAACTGAATACTATTATTGGGTGTAGGTTGATTATTATAGGTAGTTTCAGGTAACTGAAGACTATTAGTGGGTGTAGATTGAATACTATAGGTAGTTTTAGGTAACTGAATGCTATTTATGAGTATAGGTTCACTACTGTAGGTAGTTTGTGGTAATTGCATATTAACTGTGAGTGTAGTTTGAAAGGTAGTTTTAGGTAACAGTATACAATTAGATGTAGATAAGGTATAGGTTTGTGTTATTGTATGCTCTTCCGTTGTTTGCTCTTCATACAATTTCCCTCTCTCTCTATACTTCTCTTCCCTTCGCCACGTATTTCTTTGTCCTTCTTGTTGTTGCTCTGTTAGTTCTTCTATTGTCTTCTTTTTATGTTTCTTCTGTTGGTAGTATTGCCTGTCTTTCGCTCTTTTCTCTTCCAGTTCCTCTGGAGTCAAACTGTCCAAGTATTTCCGCTTTCTCTCGTTAGCTCTTTTTCGTTGTTCGAGATATGCTTTGACATGTTCATCGTTGATTTCTGGCTGTTTTGTTTTTTCAGGTTCCATTATTCTGAAGTATTTTGTTAATTATTGATCATTTTAGACATATATCTTGAAATTAATAACTTTTTTATATTCAAATGATAAATGAAAGTTAGATAATTCATGAAATAAGCTATTTTTTTCAGCGATGAATAAAAAATCTATATCTTTGACATCTTTTAACAATTTTTTAATTAAAGTAATATAAAAAGTATCATTTTAAAGTAAGCAACATAAAAAAAAAAACTGTATACTTACCATATATTATTTAATTCCACTTCCATTGTATTATAAATATCACTAGACTTCCTTTGTAAGGTTTACTTTCACTGTAATACCGTAACAAAATCGTTACCTACACTGTGATTTAAAAAGATAAAAAAAAAATATTTAGGTAAGGGTGATTTTTCTGCTACATCTCTCTGAATAAATAACAAAGATTAAAAGAGCTGTATGAATCAATTTTTTCCATATTCAAAGATTAAAATAACCACATATTTCCAGCGGGAACTGGCAAAAATAATCAATTTTTACAAAGGGAACATAATTAACAATTTTGTACTGAATTTTGTTGGATTTCTTAGACCGCATCACGAAATAGCGATGATACCATCCGCGAATACAAATTGTACCTTTATTGAGCGGGGTGAACAGTCTTAATGAAATTATTCTTACCTGTAAATTAAATTGTTCTTTTTCAATATGAGGTAATGTTAATTTTTCATACAGTTCTGCAGTTTCTAGTACAATATGGACTTCTTGTTGACTGAACTTTGCAATATGCTTGTCTGTAGCTGGATATATTATTGTTGTCTTTACACCTGGAAATGTTACAAAGATATTGATTATTATTTGCAGAAGCTAGAAAAATATTTTTCTCAATAGTGTTATTGTATTCTTGAGTTTTTGACCAGATTTTCTAATGACATGACTATCACAGTAATAAAAAAAGAGTTATTCATTTTAGATACCTTTTTGATACCTTAATAAATTAGCAATTGTAACACTAAGTAAGCATTTAGTAACATCTGTATTAAATTTTAAAGAAACATAATAATAAATATACCCCATTTTACTTAGTATTGCATCTTTCTAATGGTGAAAGGACTTTTTAAAATTACCGAGTAGTTTTTGAGTTTATTACATACAAGTATAGTAACATTGATATGCCTGTGAATTTATATCTGTAATGCATTGGCACAGAACAAGTTATGTAGTTAAGTGAAAGTGAATTGCATAAGCTACATTTTACATTACAAAGTATTTTGTTTGAACTATTTAAAAGACCTTAAAAAGTTTATTTCCTTTGTGTGAATATTAAAGATAAGATTTTAAAGATTAAAAGACATAACAGGAAAAGAGAATGTTTAAATAAAATGATCAAGTGGAAATTTTTGTACTGTGAAGATTGTGATATTTTACATAATACACACATGAAAAAGTGTAAAAAGTTCTCAAAGTCTTTGATTTACGTTGAATTACGATTATTACGACCAATGAACAGACACATTATTAATAATAATGTGGCTGGCCACTTACAAGAGGTAAGACTTCAATTTCAGTAGAAATTATGACTAATTATACTTTAATTTATAAAACAAAGTATTGGAGTATTATTATCTGACCTTTATTGGTAATTGGTAATGACTTTGTTGAAAATTATCTTATCTGCACAACTGGACATGTTTCGAAAATTATTAACTACGTAATACGAAAATAAAGGAACATGCTAATAATAAAAGGATGAAACACTCACGTTTCTACGACATGAATATCACCGTATTATGAAGTATAAAATGAGCAAAATGACTAATCACGACGATTGGGGGAAACCTTGAGATTTTTGAAAGTACATTCGAGTACTTACCGTTTATTTCAGAACGCGGGAAACATTCAAAGTTGCCGTAAATATCGTTCTGGAAGAATGTCCGTAGCTTCGTATCTTCACTAAAATAACCTTTAGCGTCTAAATCCTCTTCTTTAAAAGCATTTTTTTCTAACAAAACCAAAGCCACACCAGTTTTGTCCTTAAATGTACCTTGAATACACACAGTTTTCCTATTAGTATTATTGTTAAGAATTTTCACTGGAATGAAATCTTTCAATTCCAATTGAATGCCGTCGACGCCGTTCTCATTTTGCTCGACAATTTTAATTTTCTTTAAGCAAGGCGGCCCTAAAACGTCATTTTCGGAATTAGCGTCAGACATTTTGTAAATGTTGCCAGATCCATTGTTGCCAGGTTAGCAACAAGTTAGCAAATTAAATGTTTTTTTTTTTAAATTATTTATATACATATATTTTCACTGCGTCCGTCGCTGTCGCTGTTATGGCTGGCTTCAAGAGAAAAATGTTTTCTAAATTAGCTAAATGCCTAATACTTAAGTAGAATTAATACACTTGTAGAGATCAATATTTGAGCAAAACCTTCTATGACACAGTCATATGTTGTATTTGATTTCACCAAGCGATTATAATAATGGCTCTGAACAGCCCTCTTTGATTAATTACCTATTGCCTACTCTTGAGACTAAATTTTAACTCTTTCCAACACAAGAACAGCCTTTCGTAACTATTAAGATATTTAAATTCAATTTACGATGGTACATTACGTCACGGTAAAGGTATGTAAATACGTAAAATGTCCTATCGTTACCGTAATATGATATTGTATTCAAAGAAACCATTCAAGTAACAACTCATAACTTTCAGTGTATTTTGTTTGAATACAGATTACAAACACGTCGTCACTGTTGAGATGAATTGACCACTTACTATTCGAATGTCGAGCGGACAATAAGCTTAGCTGCCGGCTATTGAAGACTTTAATAGATTTTACAGAGTGTTTGTTTAATACAAACGACTTTCAAAATCATAAGTCTTACAGATGAGTAGATTGGCCACTTAAAACGTGTTCCTTGGAACACTAACTTGAAAATCATCAAATGTTAAGTGAGAAGGACGACCTATAGACTCTGCATGCGGCAGTATATTTATAATTACCTATTAGATAATTTCGGAGTTTAAAAACAAAATAAAACGTATACGCTAATTTCACTTAAATTATTTTAGGTTTACGAGTTACTAAAAGTTAGTAAAAAGATTTTTAAATATCCGTATTATGGACCTGATACACCCTGTATAGTAAAAGACAGATAAATGCGTCGAAGACTGATTTAGCTAACAAAATAGGAACGACCACACACAAAACGGAGGTCAAAGGTCGTACCAGTACAAAGGATTCACTCTAATAAAAGTGATTCCATTTTTTATATCAAAAATAAATAATATATTGTTATCAACTTGTATACAGGTGTAAATAAATTACATGAATAGAGTAAATTTTACTGTCTTGTTTAAAAATAGTTTTTATAACTACATAATAATTATTTTTTATTTCGTAAAGATCTAAAATGAAAACGTCAAAATAATTTCCAAGATGGCCGCAAACCGATTAAATTGCCCGCGGCTTTACAAGCAATTATAAACAATGGCGGTTAGATTAACAGTTTCTGATGTGTTCGAATGTTTTATTGGAATTGCTGTTAGATAAATTGTGTTAAATTGTCAGTAGAGAAATAAAGGAGCAATTATAAAAAGTTTCCCAAACGAATAATTCATTTTTCTTCGTACTTATATGTTGTAATCATTCTCCATACTAATGTTATAGATAGGAAAGTTTGGATGGATGTTTCTTACTATTTATCTCCAAAACAGCTGAACAATTATCAAAAACAATTGGCACAGGCGTAGAATATAGTCTGGAGAAACGCATAGACTACATTCAACGTGTTTTTATTTCCCGATTTCCCCAAAAATTAAATTCTTAAATTGCACAGAACTAGTAACACTCATCACAGTTTAATTTTGATGTTTTTGTTTTTTAAAAAATGATAGTTCAAATTGTCTTTGGCCTTAACTATTGTTAAATAGAACAAAAGATATTATTAAGCTCTGGCATTTGTCATGTTTAGAATATTTCTGCCCAATGATTTTTTCTGCATGCGGCCATTGAATTAATTTTCTATAGCCGCAAAATTATTATTCTTTGGTAGGATTTGGAATGTAATGTAATTAGTCACGTTGTAAATTGTGTAGCTCCAAGAATTCATCTAAATTCTTACTTTCGATTATTAGTTCTTTTTTCTAACCACTTCGTTAACTGTAGATTAGAGACAAAGACGTTAAAAAGCAGACTCTAATTTATTTGTCCATCCCTTTAAAAAAAAAGAAAAAACTATCTACAGTCTTTTTCAAGCCACGAAATTACTTAATGGCCACAAAAAAGTAGCTACCCGTTCTTTTTGACAGTAATGTCAACTTTTGGACTATACTTTCGCGGCCTCAAATCGCGCTATTACCAATCTATTTGTTTTAAGATTCACGTGACATCATGTGCTTACCATAATGAGAGATGCAATGCTACTTTATTTAAAACTAGCTTGTTGCCGCGACTTCAACGGCCTGAAATTAAAAATATAAATCTATGTTACTCACAGATAATGTAGCTTTTTAATGGTGAAATAATTTTTGAAATCGCTCCCATAGTTTTTGAATTACTGAATTATATACAAAAAAATCTTCCTTTTTTAAAATATTTAGGTAAATACTAGCTGTTGCTCGCGACTTCGCCTGCGTGAAATTAAAAATATAAGTAAAAAAGTATAGCCCATGTTTCTCACTGTTAACGTAGCTTTTTAATGGTGAAAGAAATCGGACCAGTACTTTTTGAGTTATTTCAATACATACAAAAATACAAATCTTTCCTCTTTATAATGTTAGCATAGATTTAACAGTGGTAGTGCCCGCTTTAATATCTTAGCACTGCAGGGCCGGCACGCCCGGTGTAAAACCACGACCACACAGAAGACAGGCGTGAAATGGAAGCAATTCCGTGTTTCGTCTGATGAGTGTGGCGCCAGAGGACTAAATTAAGTTCATTTCTCTTTACCATCCTTTTCTTATTAGAAGAGGACGGGAAGGGGAAGTGGATTTGAAAGTGGAGGAGACGCATAGGAAGGGGAAATATGTTCTTATTTGCTTCTCCTCCTTCGTCGGGTAGGCAACGCATCTGCAACTGCGGACGTCTATGGGTAGCGATCGCTTCACCATTTTGGCGGATTCAGGTGGCCGCTTATTTGCCACCTTGTGTTATAAAAAAAATAGGTTAGGATTCGAAGATGAGAAGGCATTTTAAGGTCACTTAAAGTTTATCTTAACCTTGAACCCACGCCTAATTATTTGTCTAGAAGTCTGTCTGTTATTGTCTCTTTATTTGACAGCTGTTAAGACGCGTTATCTTACACATTACAGATGCCAGTTACTTTATAAAGGTGAATCAATTAATTGACGGGATACAAAAGACAGTGGTACACTGAGCGCATTTATATTATCACCAATATAAATGCGAAAGTTTATATGGATGTTTGTTAGAGTTTGTATCTTGATGCAATTTGTCGTACATGTAGATGATAGTCTGGAAGAACACATAGGCTATTTACTTTAGTTTTTTTAGTTGCACACGGACGGAGTCGCGGGCGAAAGCTAGTAAATTCATAATGCCAAGATTTATTTACTTTTTATCTGTTTATTTTATATAAGGGCAGTAGTTGTAATTGGATGTTGAGGACTTTACCTTGTACTTGAAATAATAAAATAAATATATATTTAAGCTTCAGTTGTTTAGTATTGCTCATTGTGTCCCTAACTTTATTGTAATCGAGGCGACATGCGCTTGGGCAGTCCAGTCATATTCTGTTTGTGGAATCATACGCACTGCAAGCAAACTGAAGATTGTTCATTTTACGTTTAAAAAAATAGAGATAACTGGCTGCAGTGATTTAAAAAAAAAATAAAAAATAGGCAAAAGCTTTTTGCTTTTACGGTTTTACTGATAATTTTTTTATTTTGTGTTTTAAAATTACAAATGTAATTATTAAAATTAATATAATTATAATGTCGCTTACAATGTCGATAAATGTATTGTTAGTTATAAGTTTATTTATAAATTTCGGAGTTTGTGAGAAAGTTTTCAAGAGTATTCCTGTCGTTTTTAAAATTTACGAAAACGAATCTGTGCTGCTGCCGTGTTATATACAAGATAATGGTGAGTATAATGGATTTTACATATGTTATTTAAAAAACATACAACTGTCAGGACAAACGCAAAAGATGCATTATTTGAAAATGATTTTCGTGTTGTAATTGAATTATTTATGGAAATTAGAGCACGTAAAAATCCAAATTCCACAAACATTTTTTTGGTCTCCATGTTTTTTCTTCTCCTGTTCTATTCAGCCAGCATCAATTAAAAAGTTATCAATAGGATATTTTATCTGTATCAAATCCGGTTCTGGCGCGCTTTTATTGACACATTCGATTCATTGTATTGACATTATCTACCTTTAGAAATGCATTAAAAAGGCGGGAAGCTTTCTATAGATTATCTTTTGTTATTGAATTTATCGTATTGGAACAAAGTAAACCATAATAAGACAATGAAAGGAAAAATAAATAAAAAACTTTTAACATAATGTTGTTATTGTTATCTGAATTAAAATAAAACTACAATAGTATGTAAGAATGTATTTAATATGTTTTTAATTAATTGAAAGTTGCCAGTAAGAATTTTTACATATTTATTTTTAATTTGTGTTAAAAAAATACTAACGTAACATTTAGTTTATAAAAACATAACGACAAAAATACGACACTTGTGTATTAGTTCAATTTATGTCTATTCACGTACTTCGATGAACATACAAAAGAACAGACGGACATCTTTTGAACTCCAATTTAAAGCGGGAACATAAAATGCATTAGCATAATAAAAGCGGGATTATTCAATTTTTTAATTTGACAGATCGAATGTCATCTAAGAATATATATTTTTAAATTGTAACGAAAAGACAAAACTGAAATCTAGCTATAGAGCCAAGTATTTATTTTTCTTAAAAGTAACAAATTATGTTGAAACTACTAAATAATAATATTCAGGAAAATCTTAAGAATATTCTCGATAATTCTAGCTGAAATAACTCTAATTTCTTATAACCTCTAAACATAATTTAAACGATGAACGTGGGTATCACCACAGATAAAACAATACTATACTATGACATACTTACACATTGTAGAAAGACATCTAGCCATCTCTGTTTCTTCCAAGGGTACTGAAAGAGATGAATATATGTTAATGACAATATTTCTTTAGTAAAAGACCACTTTTACGACAACTTTTCAAGCAAAGATTGACCAAAGTATCAATTTGACTTTTCGTATGAAAAATCTATATTCTTATTATCTACTAGCTGTTCCCGTGCGACTTCATCCGCATGAAATTATGAAAATTTTATTTTATTGTTTACGTTTGTCAAATTATCAATTCCAAATGTCAACATGACATGACACGAAGACAACCTTGCTTCCTTGATGTTGGCAGCAACTTATGGTCTGTTTCCAACATTAGGATTTTTATACAAAATATTTACCCCCTAAGTTTAATTGGGTGAAAATATATAGCCTAAAGCGTGACGAAAGTGTAGGGCTTTTTATTAAAAAGAGAATTACTCAAAAATATGATGTGATTGTTGACATCTTAGGCAACAAAGAGGTGTGTGTTTACGCTTTATTATAATAGTATAGATATAGATTAAAAAGTAGGCAATTTAAAAACATAACCTTTGTTTAAATAATATTTAAATATTACTTCTTACATATTTTGATTATATCATTAAAAACCCACGCTATGGTTTATTACCACAATAATTTAATTTTGAAATGTAGGCTTCCTACACACTTACGTTGAAAACTCGGTAAAGGAATATTTAACCTACGCTCTATTGTAAATTCAGAAGTATCTTTTTTGTAAGCGAAATATTTTCCCATAAAATGTTTTTCTATTGGCCTCGTAATAAAATGGGTCTCAAAATAAATAAAATCTTCTTACTAATGTAAATGCGAAAGTTTAGATGGATGTTTGTTAGAGTTTGTAGCCTAAACGGATGAAGAGATCTCGATGAATTTGTCATAGATGTAGAGGATAGTCTGGAAGTACATATAGGCTATTGCTTTTGATTCTTTAATTCCGCGTGGACGTAGTAGCGGGCGAAAGCTAGTTAAATCATAACGCAAGAAATCTCGTCTGTAAACCAATAGTTTGTAGACAGCTTTATGTTTAACAAATTGCTTATAATAAAAAGGTGTATCTTTTGAATAAATTAATTGTATTCCTGTTATGATATAATTTATAATACAAATATACGTTTACCCTTTACCTTTATTACTGTACTATACTAATAGTGTTGTCCATTGTCTTAAGGTTATCGATAAAAACCGTTAAAACCGGTAAATTATTTTCAAATTTCGAATTAACGATTTCGTTTTAAAAATAAATGTTTGTATAATTTCCCGCTTTGACGATCACAATGCCATATGAGTTATTCTATCACGCTAAACACAATTAGGGTGAACACAAAAGTGATATTTTGTTCGCAACACGTGTCACGTCGCTTTAGTCATTGGGATGACGTGGATGTGCGAATTATATTGCAGTTAGGATGCGGTAAAATTTAATATTTGCAGTTACTGAATCGAGTAAACTCGCTGTTCCCGCCGTTTGCTCTCGTTTTCATATGAAAATATATGAATGTTTACATTACCTTTAGATAAAATAAATATTGGCGAGCGAAAACTGTACAAGATTAACATCGCAAACAATACCGCATCCATTTTTAATGTCTTCGTACATCGGTATGTCGTTACCAACAGGAAGAGGTTAGATTTGAATCTTTGTGTGACAATTGTCGCTTGTCCGCTTGGTGTTCACGTATTGATGTACCAATTGTATTGTCAATAAATTACGGACCCTCTTGAAGTAGATTCATATGATATTAAGTGAATTCCTTATTTAGAATAATTGTTAGAAAATGCATCAATTGAAGCTAGAATATTTTTACTTTTACCTTAAAAAAACCATACTGATTGAACTTTCTTATGAAGAAAAGAATGATTGAAATCCTATTATCGACCTCATTTCCGGTGTACTAATAATGGATATTGGCGATAAATCAGTGGATACGGTTGTTGTATTGACTTTAACTATGAAGGACCAGTTTGTTAATGTTCAAGTTTTGCCTATCTGACAAGTATAGTGGCAACTCCTTGCTGATGGCTGTTTTGCATGTCATTATTATTATTGTCCAGTCCATAAGCACAGTACCGTTTAAAGTCAAAGTATTTGCTGCATTATAATCGTTTGATTATACACATACTTCCTTTTTTATATAACTAAGTGTTGTAAGACCTTTTCTATCTGTCTTTGTTTCCAGAGACCGTGGCTCGAGTCAAATGGTACAAGAACAATCGTCTACTTGGAGACACGTTGGACCAGCACACGTTGCTTCCCAGCAGGATGTATTTGCACAGGAATTACAGTCTACAGATCGACAACATGAGAGCCCATGATACTGCTGATTATACTTGTGAGGTTGGTTTTAAGTAAACTTACAAAGAAGTGTGAAGTCAGCAAATTCTGCTAGTTTCAAAGGGAGATAGAATTATATTGCAGTAATCTAATTAATGAGACCTCTAAATTTTTGAACATGTTGAATAAGCGTTTGTTCAAACACTAGCCCTAGACAAAGTGACTTTCGAGTAGCCATGTTTTTAGATTCGACAAAATGTATCAAAATGCATAGGAATAAATACGTGACAAGTATGTGACTTATTATATACTTTTAGATGAGCGATAGGGATACTGAATGTTACTTTGTCTAAGGTAGCAGTACTGCTGTCTACTGTCTTACTGTTCTGCATTCGTCTGAAACTAGCTAACTTTTTATCAGTGGTATAAAAATACTAGCTGTTCCCTACGGCTTTATCCGCACGAAATTATCAAAGCTTTATTTACTGTTTACATTTGTCAAATCCTCAATTGCAAATGTCAAAATTACCGTTATCATAATAATTTTGCACCCTTAATGTTGGCAGCTTGTAATTTATGGTCCTTTTCGAGTGTTTACGCTTTATTATATTAATATAGAAGTATAGATTATCACGAAACCGAGGTAAAGACAGTTTGATATCTCTTATATGTCGGGAGAATGAAAAAAGACATTTTCAATGAAAAATAATTGTTTTCTTCTAGTTATTAAGGGGTCGATGCTATTGTATGAAGTTCCGCGAATCAAACTTTAATTGTATCAATTTGAAGCATTCTTCGACACATGAATTGCGACAATACGGGCAATGTTGGCTTACAATTAATTGTACGAATTCGTATAAACGTACCGCCCTTCGATCTTAACAATTAGTTTAAGATAGTGTTGTGAATAGTTATCGAGGAAATTATCGATAGAATTGTTATGGCTTGTTAAATACTCCTAAATAAACTAAAAAAAATTGTGTAAATAAATAAACAGTATTGTTAAATTGAGAAAACAAAATACTATACTATGCTCATTAAAAAATATCAATTATTACAACACGAGTTTTAAAAGTTTGTAGTGTTCATAGAACCAGATTATAAATAGTGTTTTATTATTATATCGATAAAATATCGTTATGATTGACAACACTACGGATACTCTATCTAGCAACCAATTATACAATTACTCAATTTACTCAACTCTTTGTTGAAACCGTCATTCTTATTTTAAATTGTTCAGTTATTTGTAACTTTAAAACTATGCATTACCTCTTCAAGAAGATAGATAAAATATATCAAATATATTGCATAGGATGCTGTTCATCATCATATCCCCTGCCTCATTAAGATGAGGGTAGACCCTCCCGTAGGGTCGGCGCACCGGGTTTTTGTCCTCCAAAGCATAGGATACTGTTATAATAAGAGAAGTTTAAGAAAAAAAAAGTTATAATAAATAAGGCTTACTAATACTATAAATGCTACAGTTTAGATGGAAGTCTGTTAGAGTTTGTAGCCTACACTGCTGAACGGATTTCGATGAAATATGGTATAGTTACATGTAGATGGTAGTCTGGAAGAACCTATGAGTTCTTACTTTATTTTCCTTTAAATCGACGCGGACGACATTGCGGGCAAAAGCTAGTAATACATACGTTAACAAGTACCATAAGTCAAACGTATCTCGGATGATCTTGTTGGCAGCTGGCGTATGATTCAGGACTTCCTTCATTAACTTAGTAACCCAATAAGTCTGGTGAATTCTGAACGTGGGATTATAGTGCGCAAAAAATTGTTGCTTTTGTATTTAGCGTAAACCCGTGGTTTCTCTAAGGTGTAATATTATAAAGTCTTAATTCTAAGATAATCTATATCTATACTTATGTCATAAAGATGAAAGATTTATATGTTTGCATTTTTTATGTATGGAAATAATTCAAAAACTACTGGGCCGATTTCAAAAATTCTTACACCATTATAAAGCTATATTATCAATGAGTAACATAGGCGATTTTTTTTAATTTCACGTAGACTCAAGCAACGCTAGTCTAAAGATAAACGTGTACATGCTTAAAAATAAGCTAAAAAAGTGTAAAAGCCTACTAGCTTTCACCCACGACTCCGTCCGCGTGAAATAATAAAAAAAACAAAAGTAAGTATCCTATGTGTTCTTCCAAACTATGTTCTACATCTTTGCCAAATTACATCCAGATCCGTTCAGCCGTTTATGCTACAAACTCTAACAAACATCCATCCATCTAAACTTTCACATTTATAATATTAGTAAAATATTACTCAGTGATAATGTAGCTTTTTAATGATGTAAAAACTTATGAAGTCGGTCCAGTAGTTTTTGAGTTACTTCAATACATACAAAAAACAAATCTCTTTTTTATATAGTATAGATTATAAAGAAAAAATAAGTTTCTGTCTGTAAAACAGTCTTAAAGTAAAATATAACGAAATATACATTTATAATAGTTTTATTTATTTCAGGTGATTAGACCAGAGCCATTTGGACCTATTAAGCAATCTCATTCCATCGAAGTCCAATGTGAGTTGTACATAATTACAAACATGTCACAGATTCTTAATATACGTGTTGATTTGGCACGTCAGCAATATGAATACTCTTCTACTTAACGTGCCAACTCAAGCGCTCTTTTTCTCTAGGTTCGCCGATAGTACGTACAATTCCAGAAGAAGGTTTCCTGGAGGTGCGTAAAGGAGAATACGTGGACATCGGGTGCGAGACCTCAGGGACTCCTAAACCTACTTTCGAATGGAGGAAAAATGTAAGTATACATTACTGATAACTTTAGGCATACATTTAACTTACTTAACACTAAGCATACATTTAAAGCTGCAAAATAGCCGTGTTTCGTGCAAAGATTCAAGAAACATATAGAGGAGGCATAGACACTTCACTTGAGACATTTTTCACATGATCCTCACTAACTCTGTTTATTAATAGCTTCAAAACATATCAAAATTATTAATTGTATTTACATTTTCAAATTTATTTTTTAAAACTGTCTAGTTTATAACAAAATATGTAGCTTATTATAATTCTGTAAAATGTTTACAAGGACCAGAGGTGGCATACTAAACTTGACAACTTATATAGTACCTTTCAAAGATAGTACCGGTGAAAAAACATTGTTCACTCCCTCATCTATATATTTCTTAAAGAGGACTCGTGGAATTAGCTTTAAAATTATACATTTTACACAGGGTGAAGCAATGGCTCTTTTAGAACATCGATCTCGTATTCGATTTAGAGCAGAACATCGTCTGCTGGCAGGAGTATATGAGTGTATCGCGGACAATGGCGTCGGGGACCCCGTTAAAGCGGCCATTAGAGTTATTATACAAGGTAATCAAACAATTCAATTCATTTAGAATCAACAGTGGTAGAGGCCGCTTTAACATCAGCACTGTAGGGTCGACTCGCCCC